TTCAACTTCTGATTAAATAAAAAGAGAGAATATAAACAATTTTTTCTAATAATGCACGGACATTTTAGGTAAAATTAGTAATTTTTTAATGTATAACTGAGCTCAAAATCTTTATATTAATTTAGATGCTGGAAGTGTAATTGTTGAGTTGGAAGTTTTTGTGCCAAATAAAAATGTTATCTCTCATGAAGCAAGCTCAAAAAGTGGGCATCAGTTTAGACTGCATACTTCCGAGTAGAAAAGGAGATAACCAGTGAGGGTCTACTTCCACCAGCAACTTCCACCAGTATAAGGGCTGGTCTCAGCATTCGAGATCAAACCCTTCTTATTGCAAGCGTAGTAAACTATTTAGGAGATGTTAAACAGCTAAAGTTAAGCAGAGAATCTGTCAGAAGGCAACGTAACAGATTTTTAGAAGAGGAAGGTGGTCAGATACATAATGAATATATTGATATAACGGCTAACAAGATGTTAGTTTTACATTTTGATGGTAAAATTTTAAAGCATATTGAGGAAGAGACAAGACAGACAACTACTGCAAATAGACTATCAGTATCTGTAACTAGCCCAGAGTTTGAAACCAAAGATGATCTTTTACTTAGTGTTGTGCCAACTGATAGTGGTAAGGGAATCGATATGGCTATAAGTACTATGAATCTCCTAGAATATTTTGAAATTTATGACTATATTGTAGGATTTTGTTCTGACACCACAATAAGTAACACTGGATGGAAATCTGGTGCAATAACTATTATGGCAAGATTTCTTGGTAAACCATTTCTTTGATTATTGTGTAGACATCACATTGCCGAGATAAATATTACTTGGGCTTTTAAGGCAATTTCAAAGGAAACATCTAAAGCCCCTGCAAATAAGTTGCTAAAAGATTTTCAGAAGAAATAGATAACAGTATTTTTTCCAAAAGTTTCAGCCAATGGTGCTGTAGGAAAGTTTAAACGATTTCCTAAGCAAGACCTTATTGTTGGCAATGATCTCTGCAAACTCTATTTGAAGTCTAAAAAGTTTGTAACTAAAGCACTAGAACATGAAATTTTCACCAGGTATGTAAATATAATATAAAATGAATTAGTTTTTACATAAATATACTTTTTTTAAAGGATATTAAATAAAATTAGGAATATTTTAGGAATGATTATAGGTATCTTGTTGAATATTTGGCGTATTACATGAATGTTAAACCTGATATATTAAATAATTTTCACATCTATCAGCCTGGTGCCTCTCACAATGCAAGGTTTATGGCCTATGCAATATACTTTCTAATGCTCGATATGACATCCACAGTCATTGAATATATGACTCCTGAAAAGAAACGTATGGTCTCAAAGGTAGCAATTATTGCTGCAATTTATTATGGACCTGCTTTTCTTAAATCAGGCAAAGCAGAGCATGCTGTTCTAAATGATTTAAATGCATTCAAAATTGCTGAAACAATTAAAACAGAATGGGATTATAAAGTTGGAAACTCAATTCAGAAAAACATGAGTAACCACACATGGTATTTGTCTCCTAAAGTTGCCGTACTATCGTTAGGTGATCCTCATATGAAAGCAGATGCTAAGCGCTTAATCATTGATAAACTTTTAAAATTTCCAGTTCCTGGGTTATCAGAGATTTCTGTAGAAGCTTGTTCTGCTGTTATTGTTACCAGTGATAGTTGATTGGAGGATTTAATTATGAAGGAGATTTGTTTTTTTTTATACTTACAGGTCACACTGAATCTGTTCAAGAGTGGCATACTTCAAGTGATTTTTTAGCGCTAGATTCATACAAACATTTCACTCAGTTCGCAATCTTAGTGTGACCAATGACTGCGCAGAAAGAAATATTAGTTTAATTGAAAACTTTGTTCACAGTTCCCACAATGAGGATCAGAGACAGAACATTTTTTTGGTAGTCAGGGAGCACGGAAAGCTTTTAACAAAAGATATGTTGCTAAAGGAATTGGTAAAGCTAAAACCTAGAGTTGAAAAATTATTGCAAAATAATAGCAAACTGTATAAAACAGTGTTTCTTGCAAGATCAAATAAAAGTTTAGTTATAAACATATTTTAACCCATAAAAAATGACATAAAGTTCAGACAATCCTCAATATTTGAAAAATTACATGTAGCACTTCCAACAAACAAAAGTAAGTGATATTTTGTATTTAGACTAACTGAATGTTGTAGAACAGGATAAGCAACTGCGGCTATTGATTTTTCGAAAAATTTCATTTTTTGACCCTACTTTGTGTCACCCTACTGTATATATTAGCCCTGATTTTACAGAAGCCAAGAGACTGGAAGCCAATGGACTTTAAACTAAAGAGGGAGAGGAACAAATTAAATTCTGAATTAGTACCAGATTTATACCTTTTCAATATGGCATCCATGGGAATCAAGTATAAAGATTTAAAGGAACTACCAAGTCCCGAGACATCTTGTGTTCATATTAAAGAGAATGTCATAGATTTTTGTGTTTGTTTGTTTAAAACACCGATTGTTATTTTTAGTTAACATGCCAAACTGTATCAAAGCCTTAGATATCTCAAGCCCTAACCTAGCCACCTTCTCCTAATGCACAATAAAATCTTTTAGTCACAGCAGCAGCAAATGGGAAAATAATGAAAGAATAGATATTAAAAGTAAAAAAACTTACAATGTACAAGATGTTTTATTTGAGTAGGGAAAATTTCTTTATTCATCTTTGAATAACAATATCTAATTATTGCTTCAAGCTCTTCCAAATTCTCGTTTAAACTCCTATGAATTAAACGCGCTTGAATAAATTATCAAGTCTGTATAATGCGCCTGGAAAATCGCGTTTATTTTACATACTCAAAATACCGCAGAAAATGGAGAAGACAAGCTTCGACTAAAACAACAAGATTTGTTTTTCTTGGTATACATTTATTAATTAGTTTTAATCAGAAAAAATTTGCTCAGACATTTTTTTTTAACATTCTCTTTAATATGAACACAACATGTCTCGGGACTTGGTAGTCCCTTTAAAAAGTTTTTCTAATCAAGTACAATCCCAAAACAGTTCAACATTATTGAATTATATCAAATCTTTAGCTCCTAAAGAAACTTTGAATTGCATGTATCTTAATGCAACATCTTTAGAAAATAAATTTGATGAATTTGCAGCAGTTATTGACACAAATCGTCCGAATCTTATTGGTGTTAGCGAAACTTGGTTTAAAAATTTTTTAGTTGTTAACATAAATGGATATATTCTTTACAGAAAAGACCGATATGATGGTAGAAAAGGAGGCGGTGTATGTCTTTATGTTGATAATTTGATTGATTCATATGAAATTAGTGAAGGTTGCTTTGGTTAAAGCAAAATTGAACAAGTATGGATTGTCATTTATTTCAGTAAAGAAAAATACCTAATTGGTTGTCTGTATAGGCTGAGTGATTTTATTGATATTGATAATTTTAATTTGTGTTAGGAAATATTGACAAAAGACATTTAATTATCTTTTTTGATTACTGTTTAATTTCTATTTTTTATTAATAATGTTCAACTGCTGGAATCAAAATTAGAAAGAGATCTTAGTATTATTTTCAATACAAATCCTAAATGGAAGGATCAAGTATCCATGGCAATCGGTAAAGCAAATCAGATGATTTAGGTTGTGTAAAAAAATCATTTGCAAGATTTGACTGTAAACTTTTACATTTCCTTTACTTTACATTCATTTGTCCTCTTTTAGAGTTTGCTATTCCAGTTTGGTCTCCGTATCTAAAAGAGAACTGTGATGCTATTGAAAGAGTGCAACATAGAGCAACAAAACTTGTACCTTCAATAAGTAATCTTACATATAAAGATCAACTTGTTTCTTTAGACTTAACCACTTTAAATGTAAAAGAAAAAGAGGTGACTTGATTAAATTATATAAATTTGCTCATGGCATTGAAAATATAGAAATCAACAAAAGTTTTTTATTTGTAAATAACAACTTGAGAGGTAATTATTTTAAATATTACAAAGAATTTGCCAGACTTCCATCAAGAGAACATTTCTTTTTGATTAGAATTGAAAATCTGTTGAACTTGCTTCCAAATGAAGTCGACACAGCACAATCGGTTGATAATTTTAAAATCATTCTTGATTGCTGGTTGAGACATAACAGCTGTCAAAGTGTGCATGAAAACACACTCACTGGCTTTGCCAGCAAGACAAAATCTACTACTATTACTAAATACTTTAATGAAAAATTGTTACAACACTTTTATATACAAATTATTTTATTTAGAATTTAGATAAAACTTTTTATTTTAATTTTTTGGCATTTTTATTTTTACTATATTATTTAGAATTGAAACTTTTTTAAAACTTTTTTTTGTGGTGTTTTTATAATAATTATTTTATTTAGAATTTAAAAAAAAAACGTTCCTATTTGTCGTTTTTCATTTTTATGTTTAGAATTTAAACAAACCATTTGTTTTATTTAAATTTATTTTTATTTTAATTATTTCATTTAGAATCTCAAGCAATTTTTTCGCCTTTCTTCTTTTAAATTTATATAGCAAATAAAAATTAATTTTTAAAATTGCACATGCTAGTTAAAAAAAATGACTATTTTGGCCAGCGCTTTTTTGTGTACTGGCATTAAGTTAAACAGAGAAGACTGTTAATTAGTTTATAAACATATAACTAAAAGTAAAAAAACAAGACAATTATCAAAAGATATTAAAAAAAAATTTTGGTATTAATACTGGTATTCAGAGAACAAATATTGGTAGTACCAAAAGTCATTATACAAGCAAATACCAGTATTACCGGTAGTACTGAAATGGATATTGCAATCCCTATTTGTTTTATATAACATTTATTTTCAATTATTTGTTTTTTTTTTAACTAATTAAATACTGCTTGTGAGTGATCATGTAAAATTATTTTAAATATATCTTTTTTTGTGTATTTTTAATACATAAGAAATCTATATTATACAAGGTCAAAAACTGAAATAACAGAAAATTGCACACCTTTGATAAGATAACTAATACAATCTTTTTATCAAGCAAAATGAAGTGTGCGCTGTAAGGTGAATAGTAACAATCTGTTTGTAAAAATAAAAGCTGTTGTGCCAAACTTGAATCTTCTAAATAAAATAATATTAATTTAATTGCAAGATAATTTTGTTTATTTTTATAGGATCAATATAACAACTAATATTAACAACTTAACTTTTAATTACCTTAACTTAACTTAACTTTAACTTTATCTTATTTAAAACAATTTCAAACTTAAATAACAGACTCAAGCAATCAATGAAATGAAGGAATGTGGTAAAATTGACAAAAAGATGTATATATATGTTTATAAATTACTAATGCAAATTTTTAAATTTTTTTACTTAAATTTTAATTTGTGGGGCTACGTCACTGATAATTTTAAATGTGTTTCCAGTCCAACCCTGATGATGAATATAAGATGATGATGGATTTAAGACAATAATGGATATAAGACAATGATGGATATAAGATGATGATGGATATAAGATGATGGATTTTATTAAGTTAGGGTTAGTCATAATGGAGGAAAAAATACTAACTATTGACACGTGTGCTATTTAACTACTTAATGGTCCGTAATTACAATAATAAATATAACAGCCGTGCAGATGACATCACTCTAACAGATTTAAGTTGATAAAATTTGAGGAATATGAAGTTTTTAAAACTTTTTATGGTTTATGTTATGTGAAGTTTTATTGAAGCCATCAACTATTTAGTATTTAAATGTTTTGATTTTTTCAGAAAATTAATATTTTGCTGCATACTGTTAAAGTATTTTACATTGTTCACTTTTGTTAATATTTCTAAAGAGTTAAAGCTTTAGTAAAACGCCTGTAAAACAATAATTAAACAATAATCAGCAAAATTAAAGATAGATGGACTTTTTGACAACTGTTTTTTTTTTTTTTTTTAAATTTGGTAAACAAATTAAAGTTTTGTGTTTCATCATGAAATAAAAATTATAATAGCATTAAATTTTGCAATTAAAATATATTTATATAAGCTATTAGCATTAATTAGTATACATACTAATTAGTATATATTATAGTATTATTTAAGACTGGATTTATATTCAAGATTTATTTATAAGATTAAAAAGATTATGCATTTTTTGTAATTTCATTGTGGAAAGCTTTGTAATTCTATTGTGAAAAGCTCTAGAAAATGTTACATGGTTTATGAATTTATTAGATCTTAACAAAAAAAACTTTAAAAATATGTTTAACCGGTTATTTTAGGTCCAGTGTCTTATCTGCAAAGTGTGGACACAATGAATAAGCTAGACGTTACAAGGACATATATATTTTTGCTTTTTGTAAATAACAATGTTTTTTGTTATGAAATATGATTTTGGTAAATAAATTAGAATTAAAAAAAATTACTTACATAGCATTTATTTGAATAGGTTTTTTTTTCAAAATTAGTTACTTTGTAAATTTAAAGTTTGTTAGTAAAAATCACTTGTATTAAATTGTATTTTATAAATTATTTGTGAAACATGAAAGGTTAAATTTATAATTTAATTTCAACAAAATTAAAGATTTTAAAGCAAAAAATTAAAATAGGGGTTCATGAAATTTATTATTAAATTTATTTTTAAACAAAATTTTTTTTTTGAAAATGTTTGATTTTTGTAATGTAAAATTCTCACTTTGTGAGAATTTTACATCTTTCTTAAGTAATTACTAATGCAAAAAATTGAGAAAAAAGAATGAGAACTTACCAAATGAAAAATACCTGATTGTTTTCCATCATTACTGACTGGAAAAAAACGTAAGTCATCCTTATCAAAATTTGTATTAAAATCTATATCATTAAATTTGTTTATTGTTTGGAAAAGTTCTTTATCTTCAACTTGAGAAACATAATTCTCAATTAGTTGAGTGGGTGTACGATAAATACTATATAATAAAGTATCATCTCTATAGCGAAAATAATATTTAGCATACAAAATCAAAGTTAAAACATCACTGGCATGAAGCTCTTTTTCACTTTTTCCAGAGTAAGTAGAAAGAAGTTTATTATTTACAAAAAGAAATAAATGTGTAACGTTTCCATCACGATTGGCTCTCAGGCAAACTTCAGAAAGCAATTCACTTGATGACTGTCTTATATACTGATTAACATTAAGCATTTCAAGTGATTCAACAAGAAATGTATGCTCTTGCTGACATAAAATCTTCCAGGTTTTGAGTAATCCATCCCAAAATTTCCATGTCTTTTTCATCAATTCAGCATTTGATGGTTTAAGTTGTTCAGATATACAAGGGCCGTAAAATGCATTTAAAAGATAAGTAAATGTGGAAATCTTCCTCTGCAGTAACAACTCACTTTCTTCCCCATCGCCACATATAGCAATAATAAACAAACCAGTGACCTAAGCAAATATTTAAGAATAAGATAAATATACAAAATATATATTAATGTTGAATGTTGTAATAGCATAAAATAAGTAAATACTTTTAAAAATAACACAATATTTTTTAATCTTGACATGTTTTGTAATTTTACATTACATTTTTAAAAGATTATTTTTAGAATAAAAAACTCTAGAATAAATAATAAAAATCAGAAGACTTTACAAAGAAGTATTAACAGACAAAAAGTATACATAATAAACCAATAAAATAATTACAAAATGACTCAGTAAATAACCAATAAATATAATCAAAAAAAAATAAATTGTCATTTAACTAAATAGATAGGTTAATGTTATAATGGTTAAAGTTTGTTAGTTAAGTGATGAATTTTCCCATTTAATGTGAATCTTTTACTTTTAATTTATGTTGAAAATCTAAAATCTTAAATGAAATACAACTAGACAAATTTTTAAAATGAAGGGATGTAACTAAATGTTTATATATCGTTGGTATACACGGGAAATGCACTATGTCCATTTTTGGCAGTATGGAGTTATTTATTCATAATTATCCATAAACATTACCACTATTTAGTATTTTAAATTCTATCTTTTGATGTACACATCAAACGAAAGAGAATTTAAAATACTAAATAGCGATATTTTATTCGTATTGATATATATATATATATATATATATATATATATATATATATATATATATATATATATATATATATATATATATATATATATATATATATATATATATATATATATATATATATATATATATATATACATATATATATATATATATATATATATACAGGCCTTGTTTTAAAGCGTTACGCCTAGAGCAATTTATGTACGCCTTAAGCGATTTTTACGTACGCGTAGAGCTGTTTTGGTTAAGCTACTTTTTATCATTTTTTATCTTTTAAATTAGCGGTAACATAAAAGAAGTAATTAATTTTTAAAAAAACCACATTAACTTAAACGATATGTAAAAATATTTACATAAACGATAATGTAAAGATATTTATTACAAAAAAGAATTTACGTTAAAAATAATTGTTGTAACGTTTCATCGCGATATATCTTACCTTTTTATAGCAATTAATTTTAGGATAAACTTTGTATCCAAATATTTTTTTAGCAACATGAAAAATTGTTCGTCAATCCTTAACTACAAATTTTTTGCAACGTTTTTAATAAAAAGTAGTAATTTTTTAAAGTTTTCAGTAAAAAACTTTAAAAAAATCTATATTCCATATTTATTAATACAGAATATAAATGTTTTTTGTAATATAGATTTTTTAAGAGTTTTTACTGAATTTATAATAAAAAACATTTGCAAAAAAATTTGTAATTAAGGATTGACATTTTTTTTAATATCTCAAGAAATGTCTTAATATTTTTGTTATCACGATAACAAAAATATCAAGACATTTTATCGAGATATTAAAAAAAATGTCAATCCTTAATTACAAATTTTTTTGCAAATGTTTTTTATTATAAATTCAGTAAAAACTCTTAAAAAATCTATATTACAAAAAACATTTATATTCTGTATTAACAAATAGGGAATATAGATTTTTTTTTCTCTATTTTTTACTAATGAATATGTATTTTTCTTTATAAAACAAGACAAACTAGTATATAAAAACCTTGTCTATTTCTATTCTCTCTAAATTGTTTAAAGTTCGAATATGGATTGTATTTTGAAGGACAAAAGATTTACTTTAAAAACTTAGGATAAATTTTGGGACTTTGCCGTTGCGATGATCACAGAATAAGAGAAGACTTACGGTATTAAAATCAAATGTAAGTTATGTGATCTTCATCACATACCATTGTTTTTTGAAAATAAAATATTCTCCAAAAACAATGGTGGGGAAGGTCAGCTGCCCTACGGTTTATAAATAACACAAGTCATGTTAAAATATTTTAACATGTTACTATATTTTAATTAAGTTGATATATAAATAAAAATAAAAATATAGTTCAATAAATAAATTAAATTTGTTCTTAACAAAGATTATCTCATATCTATTCTTTTTTTATTTTATCAAGTTAAATTGCTTACAAACGAAAAAAAAAAAGAGTTTTGTAATTACACGTAGAATGAAAATACTTTTGAGTTTGTTTATAAGTTAAGCAACTTATTATTTAATAAACAAATTTTTACAAACGTTTATTATAAACAGATACGATTCAAATTATTAAATATACTTATATTATTTTAGCTGAGTATTTTTTTAAGTTTGCACGATTAAAGTTTTGCATAGAAGTATTTGTTTTTTGTTTTAAGAATAATTAACAAAAGACTTTGCATAATTAAGACTGTTATATTTAATTTGATTTTTTTTTTTAATTTTCTAAAATTTAAAAAAAAAAAGATTTAATTGTTAAAAATGATTTTTCTATATAACTCTATTTCTTTGTGATTTGTTTAAAATGTAAAACATTTTTACAATAACATAAAAAATTTATGAATTAAGTGCGTTCTAAACTATGTATCGAAAATATGCTCAAAGCAGACAAAACTTTTTTATATTTTTATACGCAAGTTGATTATTATTTTATATTATTAACGCAAGTTGAAACGCCAAGCAAGATAAATTTAAAAAATATTTAAAAACCTAAATTATTCTTTGCTAGTCAAAACATAATCGCTGTTTAAATAATTAACATGGGTTTTTGTTTATCAATGTTAATATTTTTTGTTTACTCCAGAAATTTCTAAAAATAAAAAAAATCATTATTATTTTTTATTCAATAACGATTTATAAACAACAATTATTCAAAAACAAATTTCAGAAATAATTAAAATATATTTATATTTTTTTTTACTAAATAATATTAAACTAAAATTAATAAAATAACAATTGAAAACATTGCAAACTTTTCATAACAAATTTACATTTAAAACGTTTATAGTTGAGTTAATTGTTAAATTGAACTAGTTAGCGGTTATTTATTTATTGCGGTAGTTAAAACACTTAACGTCTATAAAAAAAATAAAGATAATTTTATGACGTAAAAATCACGTTAAGCTAATACATTAAGCGCTTTTTTATTTAAAACAAGGCCTGTATATATATATCAATACGATGTTTATAATAAAAGTTATTTTGTTAGTTCACAAACAACAAGTATTTAATGCACAAGCTCTTATTCTTCTCTACCACCTTTTAGACTAATTATTTCAACAACCGGGACATATAACTATAAACTTGCCAAACAGCTTTCTAATTTACTGTCTCCTTATTTACCTATCTTTTTCTATTCCTCTTCTTTTGTTGAGTAACTAAAACAAGTTGATATAACTAACAAATATATAGTTTTCTATCATGTTGAAAGCCTATTTACTAATATTCCACTTAAAGAAACTATAAATATAGCTACTGATTTATACTAAAAAGATGAAATGTGTTTAAAATATTTTTCTATAGCTAGGTTCAAAAAAATACTTCAAATCTCAACATCCAGTTCTCATTTCTTATTTAACGGGAAATATTATGATCAATTGGATGGCGTTGCCATAGGTTCCTTTAGCGCCAATTTTAGTTACAATATTTTTATTGGAATTTACAAACAAAAATGGGTTAGTAGTTGCTTTTCCTCCACACCAGTTTTCTATAAAAGTTACGTGAATAATATAATTGCTATTTTAAATTCAGAATTTGAAGCTCAGGAAATTTTTAAACATCCTAATGAACAACATGAAAACTTAAAATTTACAATGGAAAAAGACAATCAAACTGCATTTTTAGATGTTTTTATCAATAAGTCCATTTCGTTTTCCACATTAGTATATCACAATAAAACATATACAGATCTTTTACAAAAAGTTCTCTAAATCAATCAATCACTAATATTCGTAGTCTTTGAAGTAAATTTTCTTCTGTTGAGTCTTATCCTTTGCAAAGATCACTAGAAATTTAAATTCTCCTAACATAAAAAATTTCAGTTAGAACTTTGTCAAACTAAGGCGACAAACTTTCATTAAGAGCAGGAAGTTGCAGCAATCTATGGTTTGTTACTATTAACTAATCCATTCATTTGTTGATATTTTTTGTAAGAATCAAGAAAGTAAAAGACAGTAGAGGTTCGAGACCAATACTCGAGGCTCTCAAGACCAAGACTAAGATAAAGACTTAAGACTTCAGGACAAAAGAGTCTCAAGGCGTCTCAAAACTAAGACTTTGATCTCAAGACCTCTCTGCTTATGTTGTATCATTGGTAGAACATATAAAATCAACACTTTGATTTGATAAGGACAAAATCTATTAATTGTTTTAAAAAATAACCAATGTTCACCAAAAATAATTGACACTGAAATTAAATTATTTGTTGATAAAAATTTAAATCCATCTGTTACAAATAGTATTGATAATCATTAAGTAATATATCATTTTATCAGGGTTCCTACAGGGTCATTGGTAAAAAACAGGACATTTTAAAAAAAAAAACAGGACTGTTAAGGCCTAAAAAACAGGATTTTTCTTAGGAAAACAGGCTATAGTTTCCTGTGACACAATTTTAAACACATCATTTAAAAAAATGATAAATGAAGGAGTAAAAATGTTTTATAAACAGTAAAAACTGTGTGTGTGTATGTTTATATATATATATATATATATATATATATATATATATATATATATATATATATATATATATATATATATATATATATATATATATATATATATATATATATATATATATATATAAATGGTATAAACTAGCCCTGAAACAAATATTATGCGTATATGCTCTATTTAACCTGGAGTTTACTTAATACTTATAATATTTCGGGTTAACTAATCTTAATACTTATATTATAACTTATAGTCGATTGTAATTTAAGAATCTTATTCTTATATTTAATAATTATTTTATGTTTTATTTATTTTATAATTTATACACATGTACTTTATATGCTTTTTATACATTATTTTTATACATTAGCTGTTTTGTTTCTAATACAATTGTAAAGCCTTTGAAAT